TGGACTGACGATTATCATCCGTTTCATTTAAAATCTGCATCATGTTTTGCATGGTCATTAATTAAGGGGTTAACATGCTATTATTATATACAGTTACATCATACAAATCTTACAGCTGAACAAGCAATAATCTTATGCTTTCACTAAAGAAATGAAAGAAATCATTAAATTTAAATGAGTATCTACTTACCATTGGTATCTTGTGATGTTACGAACTTGAATGAAAACAATGGCTGATTTTTTTAATCTCCTTTCACTGAAGAGTATTTTGTTGCAGAAGCTGACTGACACAGAGCGCCTCAATTTGAATGTCAGTTCTTAAAGAGTCTGACACAATCGCTTGCGGTATACTGTGTCAAGTGATAAACAGACTAACGTAGTCTGGCTCGAGCCGTTGTTAAAACAATGTAACTGCTCAGACCTTCCTGCGCTCCACAACTCATCCCTTTTGTCGACGAAAGTATGTGGCACGCTTTACAAGACAATTTTCGGAAATTATTGCATTTCACCTCAACGCCATGTTACAGCACTGGTTGTTAAAGGTCAGAGTCATATGTCAACTAAGGGATCTCGCTAAAAATGAACAGTTTTGCCTTTGAAAGATCAAAATGAGTAGAAAGTAAAAACTACTTTGCTATAACAACACGTGCCGTACGCAAGCATAATTTTTGGGAAAAAAGGAATATTCTGGTTTAGCGGCAACAACCATTTATATATATATATATATATATATATATATATATATATATATATATATATTAAAATAATGATCCGAGCATGACCCTCTATAGCATTCTATCCCATATTACTGTGTATATATCGACAAATCTTGGCTAGCGAAGATCGGGCTATCTACAATGTATTTTACAGCAGTTAAGAGGCTAAAGAAAAAATTCGATCTAAACATAAAAGTGAATGCTTTTTTGATCAAATATACTGATCTCATACCAGAAAGAAAGCAAATTGGAATTATAAGGATTAAATGATCATTTTTGTGTATTTATCGATGTGTATATTTTACCTAATCACTCACAAATATTACATAAAGTCCTTCGGACTTTATTTATTTTGTGAGCGATTAGGTAAAATTTACACATCATTTATCGATGTGTAAATTTTACCTAATCACTCACAAATGTTACATAAAGTCCTTCGGACTTTATTTACTTTGTGAGCGATTAGGTAAAATTTACACATCGATAAATACCCAACCATTATCATTTATTCTTATAATATATTATATTATATGTAACATGTCTTTTAATGTGTTGGTATAAAGCAATTTGATATACTAATACTAATGGCGCACAAATACTCATGTATAAACATTCTTGCAACTTTATGCTGCCTATTCTAGGCCGATGAATCAATGACGAATTTTCAGGCAATAGTCATTAGTGACGTTTGAAAATAACGTGATAAAGTATTAATAATCCCAGTTTTCTATATTGATTTAACATGGTACACAATTACATCGCGACACACTCTGGCCTTGAATAATCATACCAAGTTTCATATCTTAATCTCTAATGGTTCTAAAGTTATTGAATGAAAAGAAAAGTGTAATGGAAAATTTTGCATATTACGTCATGACAATGACCTTGAACATATGACCCCCCCATGTCTTATGCGACACATACACACAAAAAAATATAGGTTTACCGAGATTTTTTCCCTTAATCTCGAAGAGCTGTAAAGTTATGGCGTGGAATTTAGCTTTGACCTTAATGTTGTAGATAGGAACCACAATGCATTTCGCAACACATCTTTTAATGTTGATATATAAAAATTAAAGTTTCGTCCCTTAATCGCTAGAACGGAAAGCTGAAACTACTGAGCTGTGGCCATGACTTTCAGGATAGACTCTCAATGTGGAACTGGACATTCTAATAGTGATGTCTAAGTCTACCAAGTTTCATCCCCTAATCCGAAAGTGTTCTAAAAATAAAGAGGAAACGAAAGGGAGAGAATATAAATAGACATAGACGCTAAAAATAGAAAACTGATGCGTTAGGCAACATACAGTCTACTGATGTTGTTTAATTACGAATATTTAATTCATTGATTCTCAAAAACTATTCGGAACTTAACGAGCGGAAGGGAAAATGTGGTGTAAAAATTTTAAAAAGTATCGATCTATGATCTTAATTTTGACGACGAGACCCCCAACGTACGACATTTTATTGGGTTGATACAAGGGTGCCAAGTTTCTATCTATAATCTCCACCGACTATCAAGTTATACAGCGGAATTGAAACTATGACGGAACACTTAACATATTATGGCGTGACTTCGACCTTGAAGATTGGACGCCGAACGTGAAGCACGACACGACTTCTACTTATCATGTATAAACAAAGTTTCGTTTTGTTTATCAAAAATGTCTTTTGAATTATACAGCGCAAGCGACAGTGTGTTTTCATCATTGATCTTGATCTTGAAGAGACGACACTCTTCTGCCTATAAAATATTTTTTTTCTTCAATTACGAACGGCTTGAAAGATACACAGGTGAGGGAAAGAATAATATACATAAATATCAAACAGCATCTTACAACCATAAAAGGCAATTATCTTCCATTTCCTTGGCATTGATAAAGCCAATAATTTGCTTAACGTGTTGTTATAAGTACGTGACCGAGAGTGTTTAAACGAATTTCATTATTTTTTGGTGCTCAATTTAAAATAGAATAACATTTATGTCTTCAGTTTGTCGAAATGTAAAAGTACTATGCGGGCCGCAAATCTTAAATGTATGTCACAGTCCAGAAAAGGAAAACATGGAATTCGGGTGTCTTTGTTCCTATTGTTTTGACGGGTTAAGCATGCGAATGAGCTGGGCGATCTCCAAATACATTTTTCTCCACACAAAAAAAAGCAACAGCAACAAAATGGTCAGCGTGGAACATGCGACTGTAAAATTAATTTTTAATTAGCCCTAGGGTTTGCAAAGCACATGCTATTGCCGTACCGATGTCAGTATAAGACGATGTACATGGTCATCCTGTCAAATGTCAGACCTGTTTTGCCTAAACGTTTGGAATGGAATCAATCAAAATCCAAAGCAACCAAGTGATAAAGAATTCATTCTTTCAATATGGGTCGTGAACTGCGCGCACGTTTTAGATCAATATGAATTTACACTGCATACGCGTTTCAGACTGCCTTCGGTTTTAAATCTGCCACATCATTTAGTGCCATCGATCGTATTCTTATTCTGAAACACCTGAGTATCTCGATGTTAAACGGACCAAAGTAGACGATCGGGTTTTAGTAGCTATACCTACTTGACAAAACTGTTGGAAGCCACAAAAATAAAAGCATTTTTTTTTAATGCCAATTTGTAGTTTGTTCTGGAAGAGAATGCAGCAGCTTAAAAAGAGATTTAAACGTTGTCTACACACACATACAAGCACACACACACACACACACACACATATATATATATATATATATATATATATATATATATATATATATATATATATATATATATATATATATATGTATATATATATACATACATACATACATACATACATACATACATACATACATACATACATACATACATACATACATACATACATACATACATACATACATACATACATACATACATACATACATACATACATACATACATACATACAGTCAAATCCTGGATAATTTTCTTCACGCTGTTGTAAGTCATGACATGTAGTTGGCCTAAGCCTTCGAATACGTTACGACATCAGGAGGAGAAACAGGTGGCCTAAACTTTCTTTGTATCCAGGTGAGACTGATGAACTAAGTTGACTAGGCCTTCCACCAGATTGTTTTTATGTCCTGACTGGGGGGTGGTTATGACCTTGCAGGCACGACCCTAGGGCAAGCCGAACGAGGCAGCTTACTTGGGCTCCACACTTCTTTGCAATGCATTTTTTCCTTTGAGTCCTTCGCTCATCGCTTGCTGCCTTGGACAAGCCCAAGAGCATAACCCACGAGGACAGAATTGTATTCTACACATATCATAGTCAATTTTCATTTTATTCATATAAGTGTGACAGAGTGGTGTATCCTACATGTGTCGTAGCAAATATTTAAAGCCCTTTCTTCTTATTCATATAAACTTGACAGAGTGATGTATCCTACATGTATCGTACCCTTTCATCTTACTCATATCAATGTGACACAGTGGTGTATATCACATGTGTCATATGCAGTATTGAAAGACTTTAATCTTGCTCATATCAGTGTGACAGGATGGTCAATGTGACATTGTAGTATATTCCACATGTGTCATATGGAGTATTGAAAGCCTTTAATCTTGCTCATCTCATTGTGACAGTATGTTCAGTGTGACAATTTTCGGATAAATTAATATTAAAAGCCGTTTCATCTTACTCATATCAGTGTGACAGTGTGATCGATGTAACAGTGTGATCAATGTGACAGTGTGATCAGTGTGAATGTGTGGTGTATGTGTCTTAGCAGATATTAAAAGCCTTTCCGTCTTACTCATATCAATGTGACATGGTGATCGATGTGACAGTGTGATCAATGTGACAGGGTGATCAATGTGACATTGTTTTCAATCTGACAGTGTGACGTATTCTAAATGTAGTAGTAGCCAATATTAAAAGCCTTATCGTCTTACCTATATCATGAATTCAGTTTAGCAAGCATTATGAAATGTCTAAGACGGTGTATTATGGCCAAGAACATTTTTTAATGATAGCATTACGATATCTTTAAACCTATACTAGGAACTTATTTTTTTTCTCTGTGTGTAGTTTTAATTTTTAACGTAGCTTTAAAAGTTTTTTAGTCATATCGCTGCTACGACATCTGCAGAGTAGCAGTTTTTAGTGATGTCTACCACTTGGGTATCAAGCCGCAGACACATAGCATAATTTCCCACCCAGTCACTTTATCCTGACATCAGGCCGACCAGTCCCAACACAAACCTCTTAATGCTGAGCGCCAAGCTGTTAGTACCAATTTTATAAGTCTTTGGTATGCCTTGGTCAGGGATCGAACCCATGACCTCCCTCATCCGAGGCGGACGTTCTGACTACTAGGCCACCGAAACGGTTATATTTGTTTCTTGTAAGTTTTTCTTTAAATTAATTTATTTAAACGTGTTTGTTTATCAAATTGACTCTTATGAGAGTTTTTCATTGCGCTACTTATGTTTTCCTACGGAATGTAGGCATGCGTTTATTCAGAGTGTTTGCTGACGAACGAACGGACGAATGGACGTAGAGACCTCGATTTCCATTGTGCTCTGGCATTTTGCAAATACAAAGTTCCATAGTCAACAGGAAAGCATCGAATTGACTTTTCATACAAGTTAATTTGAAAACAATAATAGAAATTATTTTTTTTAAATATACAAAACAAACCAAAACTATACTGTCTTGACTTGGTTGAAGTAGAACAACCAAGAATGCATCTATGACTCGAATACTTAAAATGTATCTCATTTGCAATATATGTTTTCTTTTTTTCATTAATCTTTTCGTCTATCTATCTCTTTCAAGAAATGTGCCGTTCTTTTATAATTTAGTCTCCTTGATAATTGTATTAAGCACTTAAGTCGGGATGTATTCGAAACTTGTGTACATATTTACACGTTAACGTTTAGTTTACCATCATTCTTTTTTTTTTTTCTTGTTATATCGTTTACATTTGCCCTCTTGCCGACCTCTTATCGTCACTCCGATGACAAGCCAAGTTTGAACTTAAATATATAAACTACAAAATTTTAAATGGGCGTGTCATCCTCATCAATCTTGCAACACGAGATTATTGGCAGCTTTGGGCCCAATTCTGGTCAATAATTAGTACTCACGTGCCGTGATGGCTCTTTCTCACCTTTTTTCGGAGATACAGTTATTGGGGCTGCAGGAAACAGGCCAGTACTTATATATTTTAATAGCGTGTCATTGACTTTGATAGAATTAAAGTTTTCATTTTTTTATTTAGTACTTTATGTAAAAAAAACCCCACTTTATTCTTTGTTTTCTCCTTGGATTCAAGTTCCAATCATTTGTCCCCACGTTTGAATTACTTAGCCTGAACAGTATGTGCTGCATGCCAATAATCTTAGAATTCGTATGAAAATCATGGTGGTCAAAAGGAGGGTGGGGCAGTAGCCATATTTATCCAACTTGACTGGCGCCCTGGATCACAAATTAATAAATGTGCTGTCATAACAAGAGCACCGACCCGTGCTAACAGGTATTTGCGACGGACCAAATAACAGGGCCGAGATCATGATGTATCACTTCGTGACGTGGACGTTTATATCACCTGTGTTCGTGTCCGAGTGCACCTGCCTGGCAGGACATGTACTAATCTGTGAAGGTATATAATTTCCACGAATCAACAATCATAGCAATTATACCATGTACGATAAAGATAGTAAACATCAAAAGATAGTGAAAACATACCATATTATATTTATTATAAACAAAAGGAAAATTCTTATAGAGTTTTGGAATTTAGACCTTTTGGATATATCGTATTAAGACAGTGAATGCAACACGTTTCCTTTAACACATGTTCCATCTTACAGTCAGGTTTTTCAATAGGCTGATAAAAATAAATCTTGCACGGTATGGGAACTCGTGTTAAAATGTGCGGCAAAACGAGATGACAATGATTGATCGATATAATCCTTTTTTTTTTAATCTCGGCATCATGTTGGCTCATACGTTTAGATATTTGTTGACTGGTTTGTACAATACATTGTTATCACATGTTTTGTACGTGACTAATAAAGAACATTTGAGGCACAAATAGCATCAAAATGCATTTTAAATGTTACTTTACTACAGAAAGAGATATTTTCGTTATAAAAGAAAAGTGCGAACATTTAGATCTATTTATAGGACGTATTGTTATAGCAGGCCGAGTTTCCTTCGAGTCCGACACTTGCCACCCAATACACTTCAACATGAATGTCCAAATATCAAAAATGGAGTGGCAAGGGTCAGTGGAAACTCTGACTATTGTTATAGCTCATTCTGAGATGGAATTTTCGTTAAAGGAAACTTATTGGATTCACCGTCGTAAAACTATATATTCAAAAGTTCTAAATTTCAAAATGGTCTAGGACAATCATTAAGATTTTTTAAAATATAATGTGTTATATTCCTTAAGCTATGTTAAGATCGATATTTGAATTATGACCCTTTTCACAATTATTTAAGAATATTTTTATATGATTTTAATGTACAAAATAACTTAAAGAGTGAAACTATAAAATAATATTATAAAAATAAGTTTACTAATTCTTTAAAAAAGGGGCATTGGAAAAAAATTTCAATAAATTATGATTATTTATTAATAAAATATTTATTTATTTGTATGATTATAAGTATTAGACACATTATAATTTTTAATATATAATTTGAACATTTGTAAATAAATTTATCAAGGCAAAATATAATATTGAAAAATTATGCACTATCATATATATATACATTTAAAATGTGAATAATCAAAACGGTCATGTTATAATATGATGTAAATAGTTCCAGCCATAAAGTTGAAGATAAGTTATTCCCGAACGGGTGGAGAACAAGTTTCTGAACAATAGTACTGTTTTAATTTTTTTTGACAAGAAGATGATAACAGTGCTTGAATCAATTTACTTAATCTGACTCGACGGTACTACTTTTTTGTATATACATTTTAAGCATTTTCTCCAACTGTGTAGAAAATATTTGACCCGATTATGGATATAGCAACAAATAAATACATTTCTCTGTGCATTTTTTTTTTACCTAATTCCTTACTGACGTTGCCTTCATTTTGAGTTTCAAACTATGTACATCAGCTTTTTGATGGCTTAATTTGTTCTTTTTGTTGCATTTATTGTGGTTTTTTTTTAAGGTTTTACTTCATTATAGGTTTCCTTCATTATACATTGTCATTATACACTATATTTATAGACCGCTCCTGTTTCCTAGTGGATAGAGCGTCCGCCTCTCATGCGAGAAGTAGCGGTTTCGAACATCTGCCAAGTAATACCAAACACTTAGCAGCTGTCTCGCTTGGCGCTCAGTATCAGAAGGTTAGTGTTAGAACTGGTCTGCCTGGTGTCAGGATAATGTGACTGGGTGGGACATCATGCCACATGTCTGTAGCATGATGCCCCAATGCGTGACATCACTATAAACTGTCACACTGCAGACATGTTAGTGATATGACTGAAAACTTGTTAAAGCTACGTTAAAATACCAAAACACACACTGTCTTTATACACTGCCATTGTATACAGTCAATAGCAACAGCAATCTTCCCGACCGATGTAAGAACCAATACTATGTAAAAACAATTACTACTCGTTATCATCCCTTACAAATGTCCACTTATACAAGAATAGGACACGCATTTTTCACCTCCATTATGTCATGGCAATATTCGTGTGTGTGTGTGTGTGTGTGTGTGTGTGTGTGTGTGTGCGTATGTGTGTGTGTGTGTGTGTGTGTGTGAAAACAATTTTAATTGAATTTATATGACGTAGTATATCTCCACAACAATCTCAAAATTAAAATGCATAAAAACGCGATAAATTTTAGTTTACATTCTATTTCATGTTTTATAATTTTGTACAAATTTTTCATTATTTTTTTGTTACCATTTTTAATATTCTTGTATGGTTTTTTATTCTTATTTTTGTCGTTTTATTTTTATATTTTCTTCTTTTTCATATCTTTTTTTTTCTTTCCATCGTTCATTTATTTTATTGGTGTACATTGTTTATCACGCACAATCAATATATTTGTTACATATCGACCAAAATGACATTTTTGGCCAAAACATTCCGAGGTTTCTTTTATTTTAGGAATGAATTCACATGAGAACTTTCTTTCACTGAACTTGTACACATAATTTTATAAAGGTATCCGAATAAATTTTTATATGGTTCTATTTTGAGTGTAACTGATTTGATTTTATCCACCATTGCGATATCACTCCATTGAAGTATTCCCGAGGTGGTTATATCCATTCAAACCATTTCGGATTATTCTGAGAAATTACAAAAAAATACGCCTAGGTTGTATGTCGGCACAGTAATTATCGGGAAAAATTGTAAAGTTGCGAAAGAAAAAATAATTTTATTGAATCACAACTTTTCGGACAATCCTTGTTATGTAAAATAATAGAGGTGGCCCTAACGCTAGCTAATGGCGGCTTTAGACATACATTGGAGGATTTATATTTAGGATCAGTCTCTAAGTTGCAGAAGCTTAAATGAATATAACAGCACTATTACGGTGACGGTGATTATAAACAAGTGAAAATTGCCCGTCAAGCCGAATAAGTGTTGTTAGGACGGACACACACACACACACACACACAGACACACAAGGCAACAAGTAGTACACACACATACACAGACACAAGGCAACAATTTGTACCTGACGATGTTCGCGCTCCAAAAATCACTTGTACATGTTGTTGTTGTTATTATTATTATTATTATTATTATTATTATTATTATTATTATTATTATTATTATTATTATTATTATTATTTACAGCGAGATAAGCCGATATTAAGGACATATAATTTATTTATTAGGCGAAAATGATGTATAAAACATGTTTTAAGAGCGCCATCTTTTTCCTGATATGTACTGAAATAAATACCTTAGTTACCATGGTAATATTCTATTCAAAGAAAATGACCATTTTTTACGGTTTTTGTTTTTGTTTCTTCGTGAAAATCCCTGTCAATCAATGAGACAAACAAAAGCCATTTATGACACTAACTTTGCCACAGACCTGAACATCGGCAGAATATATGAGTGGTCAAAGTAGATAATTTCCTCAAAATTTTACTTCTTACCTGACTTGCTAATAAAACAGTGATATTTTTGTGTCGTGCATAAATAAGACGACCTATAAGAAACTGACAATTTATAAATAACATTTACTTTGTGTCTAATTTTTTATAGACAAAACAAACGTAAAAATATCTATAAAGTACAATTAATTTCAGCCAGACTGCTACTCTATTTATTGCCGAGCTGATTGACACGATGTCCACGTTATTGAATTAGAACCTTACCGCGTC